GTGCCAACATTGGTCCGAGCACGGTAACCAAGATAACTGTTAAGTGTAAATGGCTCGTAAACTGAACCGGACCGTGCCAGACACAACCGAAATGCTCTAAAGTGGTACTAGTTCATCAATAGGGCTCGTAGCGCGTGGTTCAGTTCTGGCTTGGTTCTCAGATAACAAAGAGCGCATGAACAGACCGCGTCATCTCCTTACAGTCAGCCTTCGTAGTAACGACATTCCAGTCATTCATAAAGATAGCTTTGAGTAAAGATAGCATCAGTTTCCACTGATGATTATGCTTAGCAATGTGATGAACCTCAATGTCTGTAGTTGTTTCCTTCAAGCCCTGATTAGAATTTAGTTTGTTGTATCCACTTCCCAAAAGCCAACTCTGCCTTCTTCGCCTGACTCTGCAAATTTCCTGAATGTTACGGGCGCCGCCATGTTGATTTGCTTGTTTACCTCTAGAGAGCAGTAGTACCGTAGATCATCACTAGGAGGAACCGTGCTAGCGTGGTGTGTAAATGGCCGTAAGAACCGAGCTCGGTATGGTTAACTGATCCAAGCTGGGCACGGATCAGTTTTCAGGGCGTAGTGTAAATAGGGCTTATGAGGGTACTAGATATGTATCGTTTGAACCATTAGGAAAATCCAGCTCCAAAACCAATTAAGAAGCACTAAGATAGATTTGAGATAAATATTGCAACAAAAAACTCTCATAAGAATGAATAATACAAACTAAGATTAAATATCATTCTATAGCCCCGGTTTATACAGTAGATCTTCAAAAAAGTTGGGGGTTTTTGTGATGAGTTGGACTTTAAGGCCTTATTTGTAAAGTGCGCCACTAGTTAAAGAGTTGAATTTGTAAGACTAAACTATATTAATTAGTTGACTTTCTAAAGATAATTGATGGCAGTGGACTTCCTAAGTTCTTTACAGGGGAGTTCTAGTAGGCGCTTTACCTTAAAATTGTTGCTCACTAAGCTTCTAATCAAAGTTGATGACAATGTCACATCATGTCACCAACTTCGGGCTCTATTGCCTGAAGCTATTCCATAGGAAAATTGTGGATGGTACCCCATATGGCCAAAACTCCCTGATTTCCCTCCACACCACCAGGACAGTCACAGTCCTCCATATTGTAGATCCAGCTGAGTGCACGGCAGGGAAGCTGCTGTTTCTGGAGTCAACAAAGACATAGATGGTGCCTCTTGAGTGGCCTCGCTGCTGCGCGACCACCATGGAGATGTTGAGAATAGCTCTGGGAGGAAATGTCACTGCAGCAGCAGCAGCAACTCAGCGCCCTCAGGCTCTGCCAATGAACTCTTTGGGGGAAGCAGATGGCACAAGCCCAGGGTTATTTAAAGGCTCAGGAAGGCAACTGTCTCCCCTCATCACCCAAAATGACTAATGTGGACAGATAGGCAAAGCATATGTTATTGTGACAATCGCCCCTCAATGATCAAAGCACTAGTACAGTCCCTGTCACATGTCCCCTGTTTGTAATGCAGTGGGACTAGGTTAAAGTTTACAACCTGCTTGGAAGATAAAGCAAATTCTCTCCAAAGGGACGTTCAGGCCGGTCAGACATTTGAGCTGAAACCGGCTGTGGCGTTAACAAACAGACCGCCCACACATTTATCAATACGTGTTTCTGCACTGCTGCCCCTAGGGGCTGTTGAACTTGGATAGCAGCCTGGCCTCTGGTGAAATGGGGGGAAGGAGTGGATGGTTGGAGAACCTTCTAGAGAGTTAAATAACACCCCTCTGTCTCAGAACACACATCATGTGATTTTTTTTTTTCTGTCATGGGGTGATTACATCTTTATGATGATCAGCTGATAGCAGCAGCGGAAGAAATGAGACAAATTTGTTGCAGCGTCAAACAAATCCGTGCATTCATGAGAAGTGAGACATGCAGGTAGAGGCTTGTCGGCTTCTACTAACCTAGATTATTGCCTGAAAACAGGATGCAAATCCAGGGAGACCCCCCCCCCCCCTTCTGCAATTAAGTCTGCTGATCTGGTTTTCAGCCAGTTCTGTTTCATTTTTTGTAAGAGGCTCATCTCCATGTCAACACAATCCTGAACTGTTGTCTTCACACCTTGTTTGCTCCAAAGTGTCTTCAACTACTCTTGGAAATTTAGGAAAATAATCAGATTTCCTTTTTTTCATCTTAATATAACCAGCGTAACATTTAAACTCTTTCTAAATTTGTTTTTAGGATGTTTCAACTCAATCTAGGCCCTCATTGGTGTTGTGTGCTAAGTGTGGTTCTTTGACACAGATAACCTGTCCTTTAATCATGGTTGCATCATGAAGGACATTCGTAATGAGAACTCTGTATCTGAGTGGAAGTTGCAATAACTTCCTGTGGCAACCTTTGACTAAAGATGAACCTATTCGTCTCCTAGGCATTTGGCATCTTTCATTCTGAGGCCATGGTTGCCATGATGGACTGATCCCTCCTTCTGGTGGTTGAGTTTAAGTCTTCCATCCATCCAGCCATCCATTTTTGTCCGCCTATCCGGGGTCAGGTCGCGGGGGCAGCAGCCTAAGAAGGGAGACCCAGACTTCCCTCTTCCCAGCCACTTCTTCTAGCCCTTCAGGAGGAACCCCAAGGCTTTCCCAGGCCAACCGAGAAACATAGTCTCTCCAGCGTGTCCTGGGTCTTCCCCGGGGCCTCCCCCCAGGTGGGACGTGCCCGGAACACCTCACCAGGGAGGCATCCTAACCAGATGCCCGAGCCACCTCAACTGGCTCCTCTCGACGTGGAGGAGCAGCGGCTCTACTCCAAGTCCCTCCCGGATGACAGAGCTTCTCACCTTATCTCTAAGGGAGAGCCCAGCCACCCTACGGAGGAAACCCATTTCGGCCGCTTGTATCCGCGATCTCGTTCTTTCAGTCATGACCATAGACCATAGATGGTCATGAACGCTTTTTGACTCAGCTCTCTCTTCGCTACGACGGACCGGTACAGCGCCCGCTTCACGGCAGACGCTGCGCCAATCCACCTGTCGATCTCCCGCTCCCTTCTTCCCTCATTCGTGAACAAGATCACGAGATAGAGTCCAAGTCTTATTTTGGATAATTCATGTGCCACGGTGTTTTGCTGATGGCTCAGATCGCGTACAAATGTTTTGGGTTTTTTTGGTAAAAATTAAGTTTTCTTTGCGTTTCTTACGTTCTTGTTCACAATGACTTGCGTTTTCTCTGAAAAAGGAACAGTTGAATTAACAGGTTCCAGAGTGTGTTGTTTTGAAAACATGGCGGACTCTGTTGTCTTTTACTCATGGAAAAACAAACTCTTCCTGTTTGCTGAAGCCCCAGGACATGCGAAATATGACTTAATGGCTGCGCCTTTTCCAAGCAGGATGTGTTTGTACTAGTGTTGCACCGATACCGATACGGTATTGACGAGTACCAACAAATACGGCACCTATACCATTTTGAGAGCCAAAAGTTTATTCAATTATTGCCACCCATTCCAGGTAGGCAATAAAAAGTTCTACTGGATTCACTTTGTATTAGTCTTTTTCCTGCTTCACAAAGGTAGGCAGCAGCTTGACAAAGCCATGATGGCAATTACTTTACATCCAATTAGTATGCAGTTCTTCATATTCACACACACACACACATCAATTTCAAACAGATGGTATCTGATGGTATTGGTATTAGCCAATACTGCATAGCCAGGTATTGGTATCAGGTCCAGAAAATGGCATCGGCACAACACTAGTTTGTACCACTGACTCTATTTGTTCACAAGATTCCTGATAGACACAAACTATCTGATGATGTGCCAAAATTGCTAAATTGATGATGTACATGTTATATAAATTTTTTGATCACATTGTTATAGTAATAACATTACAGGCCTTTTTATTGCGTGACTCTGTGAGAGTGGGTAGTACCAAGATGGCGACTTTTTTTTGGCCTATCGGCACTCCAGTGAATGAAGAGATCAGTGGTTTGCACTCATGCCCATGTAGATGAGTGTCAAAAAGACATAGCGCCCACTAGTGTTGTTTACAGAAATCTAGTAATAAATCTTGTTTGTAATAGATTAATGTGATGAATATAAGGCTTCACATGGATTTTGGCTTTTCTGCGGTTATGGCTCATTTCTTTTTTGGTGAAAAATGACACGGTCATGGTCCTCTGGAACGGTGAACACAGCCACTGATACTTCCCATTATAAAGAAGAGAACTGATACACTCCTCGTCCATTGAAACTTATTGTAGCTTTTGATTTATTTTTACTTCTTGAGCTCCGTAACTTAAATAGATTAACCTTTTATGAATATTCTAGTATATGCGCAGCCTGCACTGCAAAAATGATCTAGAAATAAGTAAAAATGTCTTAAATCAAGCGTATTTAACCTTAATTTTAGTAGGTAAATGGGATGATTTGCCTATGGAATGAGTATTTTACTCTTAAAATAAGGTAATTTTATAATATGCACTTGAAATAAGACAATGCAGTTCCTTTTTCTTATTTTAAATATAAATTGTCTTGTTCCATTGGCAAAGTGTCTCACCTACCTCCTCAATTCAAGAACAAATGCACTTAGTTTAAGAAATCTAGATTTCCATTTTTTGCAGTGTGATTGATGGTCACCAAATCACAAAGTTGCATTATTTTCTCCTCAAGCAGGTTTCTTTATTCAGCAGGTGTATTTTTCCTACTGTTTCTCTTTTGATTATGGCGTCAGAAACGGATAATGAGGAAGTCCTTCCTGTAGACATCCTACACCGACTGCTTTCCATGAAAGCAATGACAGACATGCCCATGTTAGACGGGCACATTGTCCCTGCAGCGGCCATGAGGAGATCCTATCCCTCTGGTTGCTTTAGTCTCCGCGAGCGTATCAGATACGAGACACCAGTAGCATGTCAAGTTTTTTGGTTTCTGTGATTGGTTCATTCATTTGTCTGCTTTCTTATTTTTCATAGGGAAATGGCGCAACAGGTTATAACACTTTATTTCTGTTCCTTTTCTCCAACAGGACGCATTGGACTCAACTTTCACCATCCTGGAGCAGAACATATATTACCCCTAAATAGTAAGTCCCGTTTTCATGCATCAATCTGTTGAATTTGTTTCACATCTTACAAAAAACTCTGAGTTATGAGAATAATAGTGGGATCAAGATGTGTCCATGTGGGAAAGCTGTAGGCATACCTGCCTACCATGGGGTTTGGATTCCCTAACACCATAAACCTACAGCAGAGCTCTGTGGGAACTACTCTTGACCCTAGAATAGCTCCTCCTAAAAATACCCCCCGCATGTTAAAGCAGACCCCCCTCCCCTCTATGACCGAACCACATGACAGCAGCAGAGCCAGGAAGGGAGTCCGGCTGATCCCATCCGCAGCTGCACGCCTTGTTGGTTCTGGGGTTTCTCGTCTTCCTCTTGACACTCTCTACGGGGTCAGCGCCGGGTTACCGTCAGCCTGTCAGCAGAGGAAAACATGAAGTGCTCTAAAATTTCCTGATAAAGAAAGCTGAACTCTGGACTTGATAAAACGCAGTGGATCAACATCAACACATGACACGGCTCTCCAAATCATCACTCTGTGGAAACTAGAACCCTGGACGTCCATAGACATGGATTATGTGCCCTACGCTCTTCCTACATACTCTTGGTTTCCAAATATAAAATCTATTTGTAGCTCAGGGTAGCCTTTTTTTTCTCTGTACCCCCTGTGAGACGCTGCTAATATTGTCTCTGCTTCAGGCATAACTTAACACAGGGAATGCAACAGTTGTAGTCCAGGCCCCGTATGTGTGGAGACTCTTAAAGCTCTGCCTCCAGCTGCAAGCCTTGTTTTAGGAATAAAACAAACTCTGAAACTGAACTGGCCTTTCTCTTCAAGGCTGCTCTACAGGCTGAACTTTACCTCGGTTGCTTCTTCACATTCCCCTACCATGTTTTCCTTCTACTAAACTTTCCACCAGTAATTCTGGATATAAGGAAATTATATTATTTATTCAATAAATAGATACAAATTTGTAGGGATGCACGATATTGGGATTTTGGCCGATATCCGATATGCCGATATTTTAAAACTCATGTAGCCGATAAATGATATCTATACTGATGTTAAAGCTGGACAAAAATAAGTAGTCATTGAATATAGCAGTTTGATCCATTTCTGACACTTTGAAAAATAATATAGTCAAATATATTTTCATATGCTGATATCAAATTGATTTTTAAAAACGCGGTATCGATCTATTTTACTTTCAAAATCTCGTGAAATTTCATCGTTCTGTTACAAACTCTCGTGATATTTTGCAAATTCTTATGAGATTTTGTTAGTAAAATAGATCGATACCGCGTCAATATATCAACATATAAAAATATGGCAAAATTTTGTGAATCTTCGGGGGATTTCGTAGCATAACGATGACATATAGCAATATTTCATTAGTAAAAGAGATTGATATGGTGTTTTTAAATGGCAATATATCAGCATATGAAGATATTGTGATATTTTAATGTATCAATATTTTTCCCTCGTCTTTAGACGTTTTTAAGTCTGTAAAAAATAAGTTTTTGAGGAAGAAGAAGTATTTTTTTTTTTAGACTTTAGAAACTCTAGACTAGAAGCTGAAGCTGATCAAATATCGGGTTAAATATCGGTGGGGTGGCCGATGTCCGATATTCAGTTTTAAGGCCGATACCGATAGGGGGCCGATTATATCATGCATCCCTACAACTTTGTGTAAAGAGTTCATTGTAAGATGGAATAAATGAACATTCCCTTAAGATGCATCTCTATATTTTCATCTTTTCCAGTTAGTCCAGATGCTACAATCATATATATATAAAGCCAGATGTTCTGGATTTTTTGGGGAAGAAAATTTTGCACAGTTACACTTATAGTTCAACTGTGCAATTGTGAGTTTTCTCTCTTTGTTTCTTCTCTGTTGTGTACCGAGATAGGCCGTTTCTCAAGGTCTTGCTGAAGCATAGATCCCTCAAGATCTTCCCAAACTGTCAGAGATTATCTTTAGTGTCAGCTTTTAGCAGTTCCTCCTTGTTTTTCTTCCCATTAGCACCGAGCCGTCACACTGTGAGAATCTCTAAGGGTTTATCTTTCGTAGCTTCTGAAGTGAAGAAGAAAGCTTAGCTGAGGTCCTCCTCTCAGAGCTTCTGTTGTCGCCGTTCATCTGATTGTATCGTAGGTTTGTTTTCAGGGACTTTAAGACGAACAGGAAAGGCTTCAAACTTGCTGCACCCATGAGGGATCACCCAGATTTCCTCTCCCTCCCAGACAGCACACAGTTAGAAGTTTGTACTTATTCTTAACGCCTCTCTCTTGTGGGTTTTATTGTCTCCATCACTGAAGCATCCAATGCGTTCCCAGCTTAAAGGTCTCTTCGTTTCGCGCTGGTTGCTAGGTGACTTTGTTTTTTTTTTTTTGGTTGTTTTTTTCCGCGGCCAGACAGTGAAAGGGCGAAGCTGCAGAGAGACTTCCCAGGTTTCTTCACTAATGAAAACTTAGCCAAGCAGAAGAGACAATAGACTGACTTCAGACGAACCAGAGGAGACTCACATTATGCTGCCCTCATAATGCCAAGGCCCATATTGGTGTTTGAGGAGACAAGTCTGCTTTTGTTGCCAATGAGTTACGGGTTACAAGAAGATCAACCGAGTGCTGAGTAGCCCCCCCTGCTGTTTGTTGGCATTTGCACAGTAGTTAACTGCATTTTGCCTCCTTTTGTGTTTTCAGTTTGCAATGTTAGGATTTCAGGTTTTATCTTTAACCTCTCAGGGGAGAAAAATACTGAAACAAACTTCTTAAACTTTGATTTCCCTTCATGCTCTAGTAAGTGTGGTGCTTCATTCTTTAGTTCAAGAGGAGAATAATGTTTAGTTTAAATGAATTCAGTTTAGTGCATATTACAAATAAACCACAAATGTGTCAAAGAACTTCACAAGGGCAAAGATTTAGCATATTTTTTTAGTACATGGAAACAAATGCAAACAATATTCAAATAAATCCAACTCCTCCTTGAAGGGCCTAACCAAATAATAAAATTTTTATTTCTTTACACAATCTATATTCCAGCCAATATAATACTTCACATTTAAAATAAATGATCGGTCTGGGGAAGCCTAGTTAATTGGATCCAACACTGACATAAAAATCGTCCTTTCTTTTAAGCAAGGATGTAGCAACAGCAAAAAAAGAAAAATTTCTCCTTTAAACGGGAGAGAAACAGTTTAGCAGAACAAGGTTGGCAATTTAATTCAATTCAGTTTATTTATATAGCGCCAATTTACCGCACGTCATCTCAAGGCTTTTTAAAGAGACAATTCAACCAGATCATACAGGCAGATGGATTCAATTCCTCACACTAAGCATGCTTGTAGCGACAGTGGAGAGGAAACACTCCCTTTTAACAGGAAGTAACCTCCAGCAGAACCAGGCTCAGCAATGAACCTCGTTGTCCTCCATCAATGGCAAGATGTACCAGGAGTACCTTCTATAGGAAAGACAAATGGAGCTACTTCCAATATTGATTTAGTGTCTGTCAGTGGATGTTCAAATGTTGGTAGCAGGAGCTCTTTCAGCGAGTCTTTCTGGGTGGAGACACAAATCGAGACCGAAATTCTGGGTCAGGTGTTCGTTTTAGAGAAGTTACAATATATAGGGGGGGGAAAAAACATATTAAGATTTTCTGGAATTGGTAGGATTTGTTTAATTTATATTTAATCTTTTTGGAGTGTTGGACTAACAACACTCCACTGTAAAATCCTAGGAAAAGTCATTGGTATAATAACTAGGGGAAAAAACAGCTGAACAACGACAAACAATATCAACATTTTGAAAAAGTGCAGCCAGAGTCTTGACTAGAAAGGACTTCCAAAGACCTGGGAATGATCAGTTAGAGGAACTGTGTTAAAATTGCAGAAGAGACATCAATCAGTATCTGGTGATTTTAGGCAAGCAGAAGCTTAAGGTGAAAAAGAATAACTTCTTTTCTGGAGTTTGAAGGAACTGTCGACAGTTGACAGCAGTAAAACGAGCTCACGTGTGACCAGTGAATGGCTCTGTGCCCCCTACAGGTCAGGAGGGGTCACAGAAAGACACTTTCCCCTCCTCCGACTCTCTGCATGGACCTTAATCTGAGCCAGACATGTCTATACATTCTCCAAAAGTTTCCATTTTTACCTAGCTTGTCCTATCTGACCCTTAACCAACTTTTAATATTTCACCAGGGCCATGATAATGACTAACCTGCTCTACCTCTGGCCCAGCAAGCACACTCCTTTATGGCCTCATTTGTGAATATTCACAGGAGATTAGCAGGAAGTTGAGCCATTGCAGGTTCATTAAACTGAGATTACAATCACCGGCCCTGTGGACGTGCATTAAGCTGCTACGTCACCCGATTCCCTTCCTGTTGAGCAGCATCTGCACGCCTCTGTTGCCAAGGCAGGTGCAGCAGGTTTACGGTGCACCGGTGCCAGGCTGTAATAATCCCTTCCGTTGCCGTAGCTTAGGCGTGGCCATATGTGGTGTCATTGTTACCTTAGTGATGTTCCTAGGTTGGTTTATTTCAACAAAACCCATGTCTCTGTATCTTTTCCCCTTCCTTGTTCCCGACCCATCCCTCTGTCTCCCATGTCCCCCCCCTCCCTCCATGGCGCTGACAAGCAGCCCGAAACTATGGCCGCAGACGAGGTAACGTGTGGCTTTTTCTCTGGGGTTCTGCTTCCCGCGCCGGCCATGTTTTTTTTTTGTTTTTTTTTGCAAAAAGGCTGATTGGGGAGGGTCTTTTTGTGCTGTCACTCCGTGCCTTTCATCTGTGCTTTGGTTGAATGAAATCATGTTAATTTAAGCACTTTGTTTTGCAGCTTTAATCGGAAAGGGAGCAAAGGTTCATCAGATCTGCTTGAATTAATCTTGTGTGTTGTGATGCTTTAAGTCAGCATTAAAAATCTAAAGAATGGGGGCAAACAATCAAACCATCCTCCTAACCTTGTCATTTCTTTGATTGCTGATGGCTGACCCAAACATAAGAAAATCTCATCTGTGTGGGACAATGTGGTATGGTTTTTTTCAATCTACAGCTTCGGATCTTTAATTCTAAACATATATTTGCACTGAGAATTACTAAAAGGAGAAACTACTTGAAAGTGAGACACGGGGGCGGCACCATCATGCTGTGGTGTTAGTATTCTTTAAATATAACCTGTACCGTTAAGGACCCCAAATCTTCTCCTCACTGCAAGAAAAAGAAATTTAGATCAAACCCAAATATACAATCATATCAATAACAGAATAACTTCACAAAATAAAATATTAGTTCTGACACTGAGTTGCCTGATTCTAAAGCTAAATCTGATAAAAAATCTGAGCAGCTGAAGGAAAATCGAATTATAAAATTTTTTCAGTTGAGGGACACACCCTCTAGCTAACAGGAGATTATTTTATTATTTTTTAAATCTAATTAAAAATTTGTTATTGGATATTTTTCCAACACAACTCATTGGTGCTTTATAAATGTAAGCAATAAAATATTTTAATTAATTCCTAAATAACACTAAAAACCTGAAAAAATAATAGTTGTTTTTTTTCTCAGCTGGCACCATTCCCTCCATCTTTGTAATTTCCTTCAAATCTGTAACTGACAGGCTTTAAAATGAAGCTCTAAAAGCCTGATGATTAGAAATAAAATACAAACATAAAGCCCCATCATGTATATAGCGTAGAGTCTCTGAATGTAAACGTATTTTTTTTGTTATTTTAGCCCATTTTTATTTATTCAGAGCTTCTTTTTCCACGTTTTTGCCCACTGTTTAGTTTTAACATGTTTTGTTTAGTGGATAAAAAGAAATAAAGTCCCAGTTCATGAGCTTTTGGCATCAATCTGTTCAGCAGCTGTTGGTGTTCCAGGATATCTTTCTTTCTTAGAGTTCAGGGTGTTAAAAGGTGGATGATTGATGGTAATGTGTAGCATCCAAACTGCTGGCTCTGTCATAACGCCTTCCATATATAGAAACTCATGTCTCCTCACACCCCCCCTCCCTTCCTACTTCATGCTCTCTTACCTCTTCCTCTCCCCCCCTCTCCCATCTATCTTTTCTGCTGTTCCGTTTCACCCCATCCAGGTCGGTCCTGTCTCTTTCCCTTTGAAGATGGCTTTCTCAACGACAGCCACGGTGACCCCACCCTGACTCCAGGCCTGAACTCGCCGACCCGCTGTCAGAACGGGGAGAGGATGGAGCGCTACTCTAGGAAAGTGTTCGTCGGAGGCCTTCCTCCCGACATAGATGAAGGTAAGGAAACTCCAGCTGCTCTCTTCCAGGGTCAGAGTCTTGCAGGTTTTTAGTTTTATCTTTGTATTAAAGGAATAGTACACCCAAAACATGATTAGCCTTCATTTTCTACTCACCCCCATGCTGAACAACACTCTGGAGTACTTTTTTGATATCTCAAATGCATCTGGAGATCTGGGAGGCTTCTTGCTGTCTGCTGACATTCAAATAATGGAGGTCTATGGTGCCCGAGGCAGAAAGGTCCATAAAAGTCCACAAAAAAACATTTCAATATTCCTCCATACTGCTCGTCCAATGTATTCCAAGTGTCCTGAGTGGGTAGCGTCCATAATTTACTCGAAACAAAGTCATTTAGAATGTTTTTAGAGCATAAACAGTAGTGTATAGGATTTCCTAAAAGCGAGTTCACGACGCTACGGAAACCGCAGCAGACCAAACCAGATGAAAGTGCGCATTCAGCTCGGCAAAGAACTCATGCTCTTCCTCAACACTGAAGTCCTCAGACATTTTTCTTTCTTTGCACAGGTAAACAGCACATTTCTTCTTCTACGCTTGCATTATCGGCAGAGCAGACGCTGAATGCGCACTTTCATCTGGTTTGGTCTGCTGCAGTTTCCGTAGACTCGTGAACGCGCTTTCAGGAAATCCTATACACTACTGTTTATGCTCTAAAAACATTCTAAATGACTTCGTTTCGAGTAAATTATGGACGCTACCCACTCAGGACACTTGGAATACATTGGACGAGCAGTATGGAGGAATATTGACACGTTTTTTGTGGACTTTTATGGACCTTTCTGCCTCGGGCGCCATAGACCTCCATTATTTGAATGTCAGCAGACAGCAAGAAGCCTCCCAGATCTCCAGATGCATTTGAGATATCAAAAAAGTACTCCAGAGTGTTGTTCAGCATAGGGGTTAGTAGAAAATGAAGGCTAATCATGTTTTGGGTGTACTATTTCTTTAAAGCAGGAACACATCTAAACATGCGGTTCCCCCTGGTCTAAACAGATTAAACCCTCCACCCCCCATGCAGTAAATACATATTGGGCCCGATTTTCAGAGTTGGAAGCCTCCCAGAACACACCAAAGTTGTTGTCTTCTGCCGCTTACAGTCACACTGACATATTTCAACACAGGGCACATTGACACTACATCTAAAAACCCTGATTGTGGAACAGGATGTGTTAATACTACTGGATTGGCTTCAAAACACATAAAGCTTTTATATTTTTTTTTCCCCAAAGCCCAACTTCTAAACACTTGAAGTGGAGTAAAAAAGTATTTAGTATTTTCATCAAATGTTTGCTTCATTTATGAGAGAAAAAATGAGCTTTTAAAGAATTTATTTATAAATTATGGAGAAAAATAAATATTTGGTTAATAGCAAACAAGCAGGAAGTCTGGTCCTCACAGCCCTGTAATAAGCTCTTCTGTCCTCCACTTGTTACCTGTAATAATGGGCCCTGTTTGAACTCGTTCTCTGTACGATAGACACCCATTTACAGCCTTAAACAGTCAGACTCCAAACAACCATGGCCAAGGATGACAGGAAGAAAGCTATGGTCCTAAACCAGGCTGGGAGAGGGAATCTACAACACGAGACAGCTTGGGGTGAAGAAATCAGCTGTTGGAGGACATGGAAGACCTATTATGAGTACAGTAAGGAACAAATCTGAGAACAATATGGAGCAACCTGATGAATGACCTGCAGAGAGATGAGAGCAAAGAACAAAGGCTACCATCAGTAACTCACTACAACCAGAGGGACTCTCACTTAGAACATGTCAGGGTCTGTCTAAGTTGGCCAGAGGGAACATGGATGATCCAGAGGAGGTTTTCTGGATTAGGTCAGACGAAACTAAAATAAAATGTTCTCGCAAAAATTCAACTTGTCGTGTTTGGAGAGAGAAGGAAGCTGAGCTGCATTCAAGGAACACCAAACCTACTGTGAAGCATGGCGGTGGAAGCATCATGCTTTGGGTCTGTTTTTCTTTTGGACGATTGATCGTGTTAATGGAAGAATGAACGGGAGACATTTATGGTGAGATTTTAAGCCCAAACCTCTTTCCATCATGATCACTTCCATGAATTATCACACCGCTGGACAATGAAGGAGTGGCTCCATTAAAAGTATTTGAACGTCCTGGAGATGCCCAGCCGGTCTAGAGGGACTTGAAAGTCTGTGTTGTCCAACGACAGCCCCCCAAATAAAATCACAGCTCTAGAGAAGATCTGATGGAGGAGACCGAGGAGAAACATCTGACCTTTGCCACTGATAACAATGGTTATTGAGCTGAAATTTAGTTATTGACCAAATACTTCTTTCCCATCATCATCATTTTATCTCTCATAGTTGCAGTCTACTACGATGGGAGTTACAGAACTTTTATCTTTTCTAAGCAGAAGAACTTTTTACATTCGGTGGCAGACTAAATACTTTTTGGTACCACCATTTTTCACTCCAATTCTACATAAAACCAGATTTGTTTTTTTGTTTCTTTTGAATTTTTGAAATTTGTAGCTTGTTTAATAGGTAAGGATGATATTCTAGTTGTACTTTGGTAAAGTTTCCAAATACTACTTTGATGAAAGACATTAAAAAAATTAGCATCTCCTTTCATTGAGGGGAGTTTCTGTAGTTAAAGGCTCTTTGCGTTCATGTTTATGCATAAACAGAGGTCTGATTTCTTCTTTTTAATGCAGTGGCTACTAACTGCATTACCTGGGGGGGATGTTGTATGAGCAAATGGGTTCATGTTGAATTCTGTCACATTTTGCGTTTTTTTTCTCTCTTTAATCCTTGCAGATGAAATCACCAACAGTTTCCGTCGCTACGGGCACCTGGTGGTGGATTGGCCTCATAAAGCTGAAAGCAAATCCTACTTCCCACCTAAAGGTAACAGCAGGTCACCTGGGCGCAGTCTGTCCATGCACGTCATAGATGCGTGTATCAATAAATATCACTGGGGGGGGTCGTTTAAAAAGACTCATATTTCTCAGTTGCACTTGGCTCCAGCTGGGCTACCTTGCAGGTATCTGTTTCTTAGAGGGAACCCCTCCCCCTGTTGTCATCTCACAGATGGATATATGCAGAAATTAACTATCTAGCAGGTGTCTGGATTCTGGAACTATTTTCTTGAATGAATGTTCGAGCAGTCAGGAAGGTTTTCCCTCTTTCTGTTAAGTTTCTTTCCGTTTTCTGCTCCATCTTCTGTTAAACTTTGCATCGATCCCATTTTTCTTGGAAGCTGAAGTTTTGTCTTATAAAGCTATTAAATGCTTTTTGGAAATGTCTGTCATTCCATAGGCAGATGGTCATATGCTGCATCTGGAGGACTGATGAGAAAAAAAACAGCCAGTTTTTCCTCATCCAATTTTTCCTCTCCAAACTATTTTTACGACTTTTTTTGTTCTCAGAGGGATTATTTTAAACTGGCATGGCTCTAATATATATCCCTAGCTGGGGAGGGATCCTTGTAGGGGAATGAATTAGCTTATAGCAGCTGGAGGATACTGCTATGTAGGATGGGGGTGCAAAGGGGATCAGTGATCTGTGTGGAGTTCAAACCCCACTCTCCTTTTTTTTAGCTATCTGTGTCCCACTGCTGTTTGGACCATGAAACACATCACTTTTCATGTTTTTGACCACTTTACACATTTAATCTGGCTTTGCTGTTTTAGGACAGCCAAGGTTTTTCCAGATTATTTGAAATAGAGAAACGGTAAATGTAAAATGCTGCTAACTGTTTTTAGTTTTGGGGCTTAGTCTATGTCTCTTTCAGAGACATAGACAGGTTTCGGGTATTACAGGCTAACAAAACGACCCCCATTCCAAAGGGGCGTACCCGCTTGTCAGGTTCAATTTGCATGTTTTCTAGGCAAAAACAAGGCTTTGCTTTGGTGCAATCTATAAAGCCTTGAACTATACGCTCTTTCTGACATTTTGAATTGGAAAAGCTTCTTGGATTGTTTTATTTGTTTGTTTTTTTACTTTTTTGGAACTATAAAAACTGCTTTGAATCAGTCCTACCCAGTGGCGGCTGGTGAAAAATATTTTTGGTGGGGCTGATATAGCCTAGTGTATGTCTCCAACTAATCCGAAATAAGAATTCAAATAAACAATTGGAAATGAAATACAATTTAACAGTAATGATTTAATTTACTATATAATAACAGTAACAGTGATGATTTGGGTCACTGTGACGGGGTTCTTTGGCCTCCAAGAATCCAGGCTCAGTTGGCTTACCGGTGTTGGTGATTTATTGTGCTCAAAAACTCAAAACAGGGTGCAAAAGAAACTAAACATGTACAAGATCCTCTGGGCCTCAGCCTCCCTCCAGTTACCAGAAATGTAACAAAGAAACAGAAAACAGAAATTGCCGCTCTTCTTCCCACAGCCCTCATTAAATAGTTTAAGCCCCTCACCTCAGGCTCTGTTATTTCTGATTTCTTCCCATAAATCAGTTTTGTCCATATATTACCTCCACAAACAATTGATGTACAAAAACAAATAATTTTTACAACTTAATTCTTTTACACAGATTCATTGACTTATTCAATTACATCAAACTGGGTTTGAACCCAGCAAAGACGCCGCCAGACTGAAGATGACAAGTCCCCGTAGCATAAACACGTACACACACACACACACACACACACACACACACACACACACACACACACACACGGCTAACCCCACTGAAATATTAAGTGTGCACCCTCAATATGCCAGCAGATAACCAGGAACAGCTTGTGTGTTTTAAGTTCATGGAGCTACTGGTCTCAGCGCGAGTGTATTGGTCCTCACAAACACAGTATAACAGGAATGTGTGTGTGGCACGCAAAGTTAGAGGTCATTTTAAGTGACGAGGTGGATTCGTCACAGTCACAATAACCATGACATGAAATTTTATATCCTACAACAGGGATGTTCTTCTGGCAAACGGGTAGATAAATAAGGATCTCACCGAATTTGGTGGAAGCTGCATCTCGGTCGTTACATTTGCCATCTTCCCTCTAACTGTCTGCACCTGCGCATTGGGTGCAGAAGCCTGTTAAAAGGCAGTATTTTCAGAGCCCCAAGACCATAAAATTCTGAGACGTTGATTGGCCATTAAATTATTAAATTCACCTAGCAATAGTACATGATTGGCAGATTCTCTGCAAATGTGGTGCAGTCTAATCACAGCCCCAAGACAGAGACGGTAGGAGTCTGTCTGTGGAAATCCACAAATGAATGACAGTAGATAGGGAAATGTAGTTTATATCATTTGTTTTGCTTATAGGTACACACTCTAAAGAGTAAAACTGACATTTATGAGTTAATTTCTAAAAATATATTTTACGTTTCTCTCTTCTTATCAGGGAGGGCGGTGCCCCAGCGCCCCCTATGGGCCGGCCGCCGCTGGTCCTACCTGTCTTTATTCCAATGCTGGATCAAATCCTGATATTTGAAACAGGGAAAATAGAAAGGCAGGGAAGGCAAAAGGCAAAAATAGCCTCGCTGCATGCAGTTAGCCAAGCTTTATAGCCAAACCAGGTCCTGTAAAAGAGAGTGTATCGTCTCCATCTGTCTTTGGTCTGCTGATTAATTTTGATGTTTGGCTGATCAGGTCCAAAAAGTTTCACCTCCAGCCTCTCTTGGTAAATTAGTTTTAAGGGATTTCACTCCCACCATTTGGCCTGTCAATCACCTGCACTACAACTGTGATGACAGTTCCTGCCTCCCGAGTTCCAGCTTTCCTATACTTCTGTATTACATAGGAGCTACTGCACATTTACAACTTTTAACGAGTTAATTGGCAAAGAAATACGACATCAATCTGACCAAAAAAAAAAGACTTTACTTGTCATTAAAGGTTAAATATTTATCTTGCACATCTACAAAATATATATAAATATAATAAAAAATTTTATCATTTAATATTCATCAAATTAAATAAGGTCATGGGGTGGGTGGTGCGGCGCCCTAGCGCCCTCTATTGGCCAGCTGCCATTGCTTTAAAAAAACATTCAAATTTGGTCTAATGGATATTTCACTAAGATCAGAGATGGGACTTTGAGTTGTTTTGGGTAAGCGATTGTTTTCACCTGTCTCCTTGATGCCGTTTCTCCGCAGTCATTCTTTTTTTAATCGTTGAATCATGAATGCTGATCCTAAAAGAGGCAGTTGAGACCCGCAGTCCTTTCCTGGCTTTTTTTTTTTCTGATCTCTTGCATGACTTACTGATTGCCTCTTGTTCTAATTTTGGCCGGCCCACAGTTTCTAAATAGGTTTACCCATCTCCCATGTTTTCTTACATGCTTAAATACTGAATAAGTTTTAACAGCATTATATGGGATCTACAAATTGTGGGATATGTTTCTTGAGCATCCATCCAGGCTTGACCGAATGGAAGATAACTGTCACTTTCCACCCTGCTCTGTGTTAAACTGCCAGCAGCATATGTCTGTGCAGTTATGAAAGTGTTTTTTGTTCAGGGATGACTCATGCTGTGGCTCAGTCTGGCTTCGGGGGCCGGGGTTTGGACTGTTCTGGTGTTTGGGATGAAGGTCAGGGAGAAATAAAAAGTTGAAGCCAAGTCAGGATTGTTTCCCCTTTCTCCCTCTGTGGAGTCTTCACATCTTTTGCTAATATTGTGACACGTTGTAAAAAATGGACCAAGGGAATTGCTTCTTTTTTATGTGTTCCTCTGGGTCAACTTTATTTAGAGCTCTCCGCCCCCAAAAAATTTTCTTTGATAATTGAACGGAGCTGTCAAAAGAAGATGGAAGGTCACCAAAGATTTCTGATCGTCTCTGAGGTTTTAAGAAATTTACTGTAAGCCTGTACTAATGCCTGAGCCTCCAATGCTCAGACATCCATCACATCTGTTTACAGACAAAACAAGCTGCCTTTGGCATAAAAGAAGCAATGTCAGGGCCGCTGTTTGCTAGAGGCAACTGCTAAGTTAGCTGCTGGGGGAATATGGAGCGACAGGTCGCTGTTAAAATTATGGTAGTAGTAGAAGAGCAAGTGGTTAAACAGAAAGTAAACATCAGACTATGGTTGATGTGTTGGTGAAAACAGCTGCAATGGGTTAGATTCATATTGCATCATATACGGTAAATTTCACATTAGTTCAGTTTAAATCTACGGAAGAGGATTAGGGCCACTGGAAAAAAAAAAAAAAAAAATTAACTGATTTTTTAATTTAACTTAATTTTAAAATCTTATTTCTCAGAATTCTGACTTTTTCCTCAGAATTCTGACTTTTTCCTCAGAATTCTGACTTTAATTTCAGAATTCTAACTTTAATCTCAAAATTCTAACTTTAATCTCAGAATTCTAACTTTAATCTCAGAATTCTGACTTTAATCTCAGAATTCTGACTTTAATCTCAGAATTCTGACTTTTTTCTCAGAATTCTGACTTTAATCTAAGAATTCTAACTTTAATCTCAAAATTCTAACTTTAATCTCAGAATTCTAACTTTAATCTCAAAATTCTAACTTTAATCTCAGAATTCTGACTTTTTCCTCAGAATTCTGACTTTAATCTCAGAATTCTGACTTTTTCCTCAGAATTCTGACTTTAATCTCAGAATTCTAACTTTTTCCTCAGAATTCTAACTTTAATCTCAGAATTCTAACTTTAATCTCAGAATTCTGACTTTAATCTCAGAATTCTAACTTTAATCTCAAAATTCTAACTTTAATCTCAGAATTCTGACTTTTTCCTCAGAATTCTGACTTTAATCTCAGAATTCTAACTTTAATCTCAGAATTCTGAGAAAAAAGTCAGAAATCTGAGATTAAACTCAGAATTCTGGGAAAAAAGAAAGAAAATTAAAAAATCTGTTAACTTTTAGTTATTTTTTTCAGTGGCCCTAATCCTCTTCCGTATAAATCCTTGTC